ACAACAACAACAACAACAACAACAACAACAACAACAACAACAACAACGATCATTTACTACGAGCAGACTGATCCATAAAGGCTGAAGGTGTTACCTGAGCAGAATGGAAGCCGCCATAGCTCACCTGAGGCGCAGGCCGACACACCTCACAGAAAGTCCGCTTAAAGCCGCGGTTCTGTTTCCACCAGAACCAGAGAGGTTCACAGACGAGCCAACAATCACAGAACCGCTGACGTTATACGGTTAGTGGACCGACACCGAGTACCGAAAACGTTTTTCCGGATTACCTCTAAAAGTTATCAGGTAACTTGACAGCCGTGAGCTAAGGATGTAACTAGCCGGATAAGCCGCTTTCTCCGTCAGCTAGGCGGAATACGACCTTTCTCGCACGGGTAAGAGCTGTCAGACAGACTCCTGACAGTCACCAGCTCGTTCTGGCACTTAGTCCGGGTTAGTAAACGGGTTAAACTTCACGGAACAGCGCGCTAACGTAGCTGCGTGCACCACATTCGGAGGCTAGCGCCACTTAGCCAGGGAAGCTAACACGGTGAACCAGGTGAGCCAATCCGAGCCGTAAGCTAATACTGCCGACATACCTGTGACCGCCTCTGCGACCCAGAAGGAAGCCCCTCGTGGACACCGTCACCCGCGAGTCACGAGCAGGGCCAGATAATCCCCAGTCCACGGAGAGTGTCGGACAGAGCACCGCACGGTCCCGTGGCTTCCAGCCGCCGCTGAATGGCTGCTTCTCCGAGACTCAAGCAAACCTCCTCCTTAGCAACGGTCCGCCTCCGCCGCGCGACGCTCCGCCGGGCCCCGCGTGCAGATTGGAGCTGACGCACGACGCATGCGCGTTTCCATAATTGGATTTTTCTCATCAGAGAGGAACGTTGAAAAAAAAAAGAAATGTTGAAAATGTTAAAGATGTTTAAAACATTAAAGTCAGACTTCGGATATATTCTCAAAATATTAGAAAATAAAACTATTAATAAAAATGTAAATAAAATAAAATCAAAATTCTGTTGGTTTTTTTCCTCATAATATTGTCTTTAATCTCAGACTCTCCAAACTCAGAGGAAAAAAGTTTAAAAAAATAAAAATAAAAAT